ATGCACCGTCTCTTAAAGCCAGGCACAGCCACCTGTCCAGCCCTCCCAGCCCCAGCTCCAGCCCCAGCCCCCGGGAGGATGCGCAGACACTTACAGCCCCACAGTTGGGCATTTCACAGATGAAGGAGCCTGAGGGCTGGCTGAGGGCCTGCAGGGGCGGTCCCTCTGCGGGAGCCAGGACCGGGCCCGGCTGTGGCTCTGGGGACTTGGGCACTTCACTCTCTTCTTCTCGTGTGGATTTCCTATCTTCTTCCTGGTCCTCCTCCTCTTCCTCCAACTCGTCTTCTTCTTCACTCGTCTAGTGTTCAGGCAATAAAAGCAGAAGGGGAAGAGTCCCCAAATGGCATTTTTAGTGATGAACAGAACCCACAGGCCGGGAGAGGGGCTGGATGCTGGGGTTGCCCTAGTTTGTTTCCGTGTGAGGGACAGCTGACAGAACCCTGGGTCCCCTCATTACTCACATAAAAATGTTTTAAGGAGGGAGGAAGTATTTCTGTATGTAGCGTTTCTCCCCCTTGTTCGAGACCAGCAGACCTTGAAACAGACTAAAATCCAGGCAGGCAGACCCATTTGTGTCTGTCTGCCCTGCTCTGTGCCTCCAGAGCTGCGCAGAGGGTTTTCAAGCAGTAACAGTACTGGGGGACCCTTTGGAGAGACACTAAAGACCCACCCTGGTTTGTTTTATAGGCCTCGTAACCCACTTCCAAGCAAGATTCCCGAGATGCTGATTGGGCCTTTGGAAAACTCATGACACCGGGCCCTGCTCTGATCTTGTCGGAAAAGAGAATCAAAGAGTGAACCACAATAACTTTGAAAAAGAGAGAAAATGGAAGAGGATATTCCCTTCTATTTATCATGTGCTTTTTTAAAAAAAGACTTTATTTATGAGAGAGCAAGGGAAGGAGAGAAACATCAGCCAGTTGCTCTTCCACAGCCCGCAAGTGGGGGCCTGGCCAGCAACCCAGGCCTGTGCCCTGACTGAAAACCGAACCAGAGACCCTTCAGTTTGTGGGCCAGCGCTTAGCCCAGTGTGCCACACCAGCCAGGGCTATCATGTGTTTTTATCCTGGCCTCTGATCGTGGGCTTGTAGAAATGCCTTCCAGAGGCAGCCTATGAAAAAGAACAAGTAAAATATTCTCTATGATTAACTGCCCTCTTTGCTACTGTGTCTCCTCCCTCTACTGCAGAAATGCAACCAGGTGCAGAATTAAGCAGGAGGTCCACGCCCTCCTCAAGGCTAACGAGGTAGTGAGTTAATGGAGCAGCTGGAGTAGGTGCCCAGGGTGGGTTGGGGATGGAGGGCAGGGATCTAGGAGCCCCTCATCTGGCCTCTGGTTCCACTGATGACCTTATTCTGCTCTCTGTCCTCACGGAGGTGGGGGTATAGTGAGGGACACTGGCTCCTGCAGGCCGAGAAGGGCCTGGGGACCACGGAAAGGGAGTTCTATGTTACATCAGCCTCATTTCAGCTTCTACTTCACAGCACCTTACAGTGCACAAAGTGCTTTCATATCTGCCATATCACTGCATAATCTGTAAACAGTCCCCCCAATTTACAAATGAGGAAATGAAAGGTATACCTAGCCCTGGCTGGTGTGGCTTAGTGGATTGTGTGCTGGCCTGCGAACCAAAAGGTCATTGGTTCGATTCCCAGTTAGGGCACATGCCTGTGTTGTAGGCCAGGTTCCCTGGTGTGGGATGCACAAGAGGCAACCACATACTGGTATTTCTCTCCCTCTCTTTCTCCCTCCCTTCCCCTCTGTCTAAAAATAAATAAATAAAATCTTTAAAAGAAAAAAAGGTATACCCAACTGAAGGTTTATTGTCTCTGCCACACATTCTCTCTCTCTTTATATTAAGTTTTATTTTTATCTTTTTAAATTACATTTATTGGGCTGACATTGGTTAGTAAAGTACAATAGGCCTCAAGCGTACAATTCGTGGCACACCGTCGGCACACCGTCTGCACACCGCGCTGCGTTTTGTACCCAAGGTCAGGTCTTCCTCCATCACCAGGTATCTGCCGCTGTCACGCTCCCTCTGCATCCCCACTGCTCACAGCACCAGGGGTCCCTTCTGCTTTACCCCAGACAGCGACGTGGCTTTGGGCGAGTCTGTGGTCCTTAGAGTCCAGAAGCAAGACTGTCCAAGAACAAGAGGTTTCTCAGAGCAGTGGTGCCCTGGGACCCAGAAACCACAGGCTTCTCCTCTCCAGTCTGGACTGGGGGTGGGGAGAAGGCGACGCCAGTGCAGTATGGGCACTCCGCACGCCCCTCACGGGTTCAGTAGTGACAGTTTTCTCACAATGTCGCTTTCTGGCTTAAGAGCTCTGAGAAGAAACGTTCCATATAACCATGACATTACAGATTTGACTATGCTGCACTGTGACTATATATGTCTCAGGAATGTAGATATGTTTTATTTCAACTGTCCATCTATACATGTTCACAGAATGACTTATCCTAAAGCCAAATGGATCACCAAAGGGACTAAGGGACACAAAGATAAGAAGATGAAAGTCTTAACACACAGACCTTCCTATCAACAAGCTGGCCGTTTAGGGGATGTGCTATGAAATGAAATCTTTAGTGATGCTCCCAAACCGGTAGCCGGTGGGCAAATACAGGGCAGGGAGGTGTTCCACATTCAATATGGTGCTCAAAACCTTGAGCATCCACAGTATGAGTTTCTTTTTTTATTTAATTTTTAGAAAGGGGAAAGGAGGGAGAAAGAGGAGAGAAACATCAGTGTGTGGTTGCCTTTCACATGCCCCCTACTGGGGACCTGGCCTGCAACCCAGGCATGTGCCCTGACTGGGAATCATACTGGTGACCCTTTCGTTTGCAGGCCCGTGCTCAATCCACTGAGCCACACCAGCCAAGGCAAGAGTTTCTTTTTAAAAAATAATTAAACTTATTGGGCTAACATTGGTTAATAACATTATATAAATTTCAAGAGTTACTTGAGGTGGAGGATGTTTTTATTTTTCTGGCATGCAAATGAAATTCATATTATGAGAAATTTGTAAGTTAAAATACAAATATTGAACAAGTCATATTTACTCCAAGACAAATTGGAGTGTTACCGTCACTGATGATGATATAATTTTGAATGACTGTTATGAGTCAGGCATCACACGCACACATTTCTAGTTTTCACAACAACCCTGTACAAATTTTTCTTTTTTAAACAAATGAGGAAGTTGGCCAGAGAACTAACTTTCCCAACATCACGTGGCTGGTACAGAAGATAAACTGAGATTTAAAACCCGAGACTGTGGGTGAGCCTGAGCCCTGGAGCCCTGACTGCTGTCTTCCCCAGTCAGTCAACTGTGGCAGTTAGTTTCTGGAACTGTGTTCAGTCCAGTCACAGCCAGACCCACCGTTCTGTCGGGAGTGGGACCACAAGGATGGACAGGGTGCAGGGAGGGGTGGTCAGCACAGCCTACTGCCACCTCCTTAACAGAGCCCATCTGGGCCCCTTCTTCTGCCTGCAGGGGTGGAAGGGCCTGTGGCGGCTTCGGGCCAGAGGCACACCACTACCCCGCTGGTTCCCTAAAGAGCTGTCATTCCCCACAAACTCTCCTTCTTTCCCTCTTTCCCCACGTAAGTCCCTAAGCCACCCACGTGTATCCCATCTGAGCGGGAATGGTCACCTGTCCCTTTAATAAAACACTGAGGACACATGATCAGGAGAGCTACGCTGGGAGTCCCAGGCCATGGTCTTAGGACAGCACCTTCTGTACTCTCCCCAGTCCTTGCACAGTCCCAATCTGTCGCCTGCAAACTATCGTCAGACAGCTGGGCCTGCACCTCGCTTCCTGTTCTCCCCAAGCTCAGAGGCCACAAGGGTGTGGAAGCTCCTGAGGCAGCCTAACACTGGCTCCTGGTGATTAACCCAAGAAGGTGTGGCCCCTTGGGCACTGTCTTAACCACTCTTCCTCCTAAAGTTTCGTGTGGCTTGCCTTTTTCTACCCACCTTCAAAGTCCTGCTGGCCCAAGATGGTGCCTCTGCCTTCTGTGGTAACATCTCCCTTAGCAGCACCCCTCTGCTCAGAATCCACATGCTCCTGTCTCCCTCCAATGAGTTTACAGAGGGTTTGTTACTATGCACCTCAGAAAAACGTTTACTCCTTCATTCTGCAAATATTTGTTAAGTGCCTTATTATGCAGACACTGTCCTAGGCACCAGATAAAACCAAAGCCAGAGAGACACTAATTTGCCCTAGGAAACCCCATCCTCTGATTCTGCCCTCTTCCAAAACATGGCTCTCGCGGAGCCCCAAATGTTCCAGAATTGGAAGGGACTTTCCGAATCACCTAAGTCATTTGCTTCATTTTATGGCCCAGGAGGCAGGTCCCAGGCCTCCAAGGCCAGGGTTCATCGTGCTTTCTTGTTTACTGTCTACCGACCCACTTGGAAAGCAATGCTCCGTGTGACCTGGGGCAAGCCTCTGCCCCTCTGGCCCCAGACTTCTGGCTGTGGACTGGTGGAGCCAGGAGAGAAAGAGAGCCTGAGGCTATAACTAAGAACTCTGCTTCTCATTTCATATCGATTTTATTTTTTTTAAGATTTTATTTATTTATTTTTAGACAGAGGGGAAGGGAGAGATATAGAGAGGGAGAGAAATATCAATTTGTGGTTGCTTCTTGCACGTCCCCCATGCGGGGGTGGGGGGGGGGGCTGGCCCACAACCCAGGCCTGTGCCCTGACTGGGAATCAAACCAGAGACCCTTCAGTTTGCAGGCCAGTGCTCAATCCACTGAGCCACACCAGCCAGGGCCATATTGCTTTTAAACAATCTCGGAGCTCCCAGTAAACTTTCCCCTGTGTATGCCACACCTTCCCAACTAGCACGTGTTCTCACCTGGAGGCAGTAGGGGCAGAGGCCTGTTAACATCCCCAACTCACCCACTGCGCCACACACGTATTGCTGTTTACACTGTGGGAGCTCAAGTGGCTTTAGTTCATTGAAGTAGATGAGGCCACACTGCTTTTTTATTTACTTGCTTATTTTTTCCCCTGTGCAATCTATGGGCAGAGGCCAGGCAATGGTTCGAGGCCACAGTTTGCTCCGGCATGAGGCACTATGACCAACCCAGGGGCAGGGGCCTGCCGTAAATCCAAACCCATGCCTCGCACTGCTTTTTAAAACATTAGGCAACAGATGTGCAAAAGGCTATTCTGATACAAGTCATTACTACTTAAACTAGTCAGACAAAAACCCTGGTCACAGGAAACCCTCAATACAGAATACTGTCTACTTGGACCAGAAGAATGGGAATTCCATTCTATTCCACACGTGTCTATTTTGTCTCATATTTAGGTCTAAATATAAATTAACATATGTGTGCATATTTCCTAGCTAGACTCAATACATAGTTAGGAACTTGGGCTTTGATGTATTAATGCGTCCAAGTGTTTTTACATTTCTTGAAGAGAATTTGCACTTGACCTATATACTATATGAGGGCATCAGGCTCGGACAACACACTGACCAGCCACTGACCACAGCTAAGTAGCTCTGTGCCTCAGTTTTACGCCATGTGGAACTGGTGTGAGGCCTAAATGAGGCAACCTTTGTAAAGTGCCTAGTATAATGCCTGGCACACGAAAAGTGCCTTTTTAAGGAAACAGCCCACCTATGTGCTAACCCTTACGCTAGGGCACTACTGGGAATGAACGTGTGATTACAGACCTTCACACCAGTCACGAACTCTAAACTCGTTCCCTGCTGACGGCAGAGGCTGGGGTTCAGTGACTGGCTGTAAGACACGTAACTGTGACGTACATACATAGGAGGTAATGTTTGCCACAGCAGGTGAGACGGAGATTTCCCTTAGCTGTGGACACAGAGAGGAGAGCCCACCACAGGGATGAACGTGGTAGCAATGACCAAAGCCACACATATCAGGTGCTGAGACGATTCTGATCTTATCTCTTTAGCATGCACTTAATCTTAACGTGCAGACAATTTCGATGGTCTGCCAATGAGGGAAGTCAGTACAGGGATGAAGCGAGGGCCAGAGTGATTACACCCTGCTAACCAGTGCCTCCACTGAGCGGCCCCGGCACTACCCAGAGGTCAAAGCTCCTCCTGGCTCATGCTTCACGGAAGCCGTGGAAAAGCTGAGGCCTCCTTCATCGTGTGAAAGCATGTCATGTTCTCTGGTCAGTGGCATCTCTGACGTGGAAGGATCAGGACAGGGTATGCTAGCGGGTCAGGGTACCTTCTTATTAAAAACCAACCACCCAAAGCTTGGGACCCCCCTGGCTGAACTCCCTGGCTCCTACCTGCACTGAGACGCAGGCCAGCTCCCACATCTCTCACTGACCACTGAGCCACAGGTCAACCCCGAGCCGCCTTCTCTCCGCCTCTACACCAAGACTCCAAAACCTGAATCCCACCAGGGAACGGGATCTTCAGCCACGCACTGCAGCCACCTTGGCGGTAGAGCCTAACCAAACACCAGCCACAGACTGAGGCGGGTGCGGGGTGGGAGTGGGGCCAGCATGAGCACCGACTCCGCAGCTCACTCACCACGCTGTCATCGATGAGCTCCGTGAGGCGTGTCCGGTGCTTCCGTCCTAACCGCATGATTTTCTTCCACGTGTAGTAGTACTCCACACACTGAGCCACCGTCTTAGACTTCACCTGCGGGGAGAGCCACTGCAAGGTCAGCTCCAGCAGCGGGCAGGGTGCACAGCAGCAAGCTTTTTTGAAAATTTAGTTTTGTAATAGGTGGTAGGCTTATGCAGTTCAGTAAAAAAAATGTATATAGAGGAAAGTCTCCTTTCCACGCCTCTTCTCCATCCATCCATCCATCCAGCTGACTCCCCAACCCTGTAACACAGCTAGCCCCTCTTATTAATTTCTTGGATATCATTCCAGAATTTCTTTATGTGTACACCAACAAACACAATCCTTCCTCGCCATTTTCCTCACAAAAGGTAACACATGTATATTTTACAACTTGATTTTTTTTCACAATACAGCCTGGCCTAGAGATTTTCCATGTCAGTCCAAAGCAAATTCATTTCTTTTATTAGCCTGTAAAGCAGCACGCTCTTTCATTAAATGTGCTTGAATATGTTTGGTTGTCTGGTTTGTTGACTGACTTATTGCCCTTCAAAATCTACTTATGAAAAATGTTCTTTAGTCATGAAAACAGGAACATAAGGCAAAGTTGTAATGATGAGCTCAGTTTTTGCAGGAAATTAGCCTTGCTCTGTTTTCCCCAAAAGAAAAGGTAAGTGTGTTTTCAAGAGAAAAAGTTCCTTTGTTTTGTTCATATATCTCTAAGCTCCAAGTATAGTATGCTGGTGTGGGTTTTCTGGAGGCAGGTAAACAGTGGACAGTGCCCTTAGGGGTGGGGACACAGCCACCTGTACAGTGAGGTGAGGAGGACCTCATCTCCTCAAAGCTGCCCCCTTCGCATCCACTGGATACCTTGAATTTCTACCTTGGATTGGCCCAGGAAGCGCGCAGTGTTCCAGAGAGCCCTTGCTTAAACACCCGTGTCGCCTGACAAGCATGACACATGAAGCTACTGTCAGTCAACAAGGTGTGAGGCCTGGGACAGGCCAATCCTGGGGACGGTGACTCAAGAAAGATCAGAGCATGGGAGCGGCTGGGCAGGGAACGTGCTGGCCTCCAAGGCAGGGAAAGGTGAGCGTGAATATAGATCTGGAGACGGAGGTAAGCTGGAGAAAAGAACCACCTAATCTGATCATTGTCCACCAAGGCCGCCAATGAAGGACATGTCCCCGGGATGCCATTGGTACCACTGGCCTAGCTCAGAGCCGATGGGAGCTGGTTGTCACCCGTGACCCTGTTTTCCGTGGACCTGAACACCTTAATAACCTTAGTGATACAATGTGGCCCCATCATTCATCAGTCTGCTGAAACACACTTTGAATCATTTTAACTTTTAGCCCAAACCACCTCTTCTTAGCCAATTACAGCTTATTGGGTTTACTGTCTGCTATATAAAGTGTTTTCATCTACGTGAAAGAGTTCTATTTTGCTGTGAAATGCTGTCTATGTAAAGTATGATTTTTACCCTTATTGTCATTACAATTAGGGGCCCAACACCAGAAACCCTGCTACTGGCTGGGGGGAGGGCACCTGCCATCACTTCTCCAATTTCCCAGAAAAATACTCTGTTGGGAAACACGACAGACCTGTCAAATATACATGAAATAAATTATGCAAATTGTGAACTAGAAGCCTGAGTCCTATTTTATTCTAACAGAATGTATAAATTACACATTTTTATTAAGATAGAAATAACCCCCACCACTGTCATGTCCAAATAATCTGTCCTCTTTCCCCCATGTCCCTGACATCGGGGCCATGCTGCCCTGCAGCAGATGGCACCCGTCACCAGCAAGGGGTGGAAGACACCCTTTTCGTGGGAGCAGTAAGCCAGTAACCAAATACTTCTACGTATTTTAGGTGCAGGATTTCCCAAATCCAGTTTTAAGCAAGCAAGGGGACAAAGCATGCTTACCATCTTCTGTACAAAAATAAAGTCTTTGCTGTAAGTGGCTAGTGCTTTATTAAACAGTTTTCTTTCCAGGGAGGTCCACTTGTCCGAGCCTACGACAAAACACAAACTCCATGACAACGGCTCACAGTTCTCTCCACTTCGCTGCTTCTGGCTTCGCAGTTTCCCCACTTTGGTGGCTGGTTCACTTAAGTTACAAAATATAACTGTTCGGTGACAAATAATATAATACCCATCAAACTCCTTTTTGAATAAAAAGCCAGTGCAGTGTAACGGTTAGCAGCCCTGACACCTAAGTTCATCTCAGTTTGACCGTGGCACGTTATTGAACCTAAAACTCAGTTTTGTTACCAACAAATGGGAATAATTCTAATTGTCCCTCCTTTTAGGATTTTTGTCAAGGTTAAAGATAATGCACGAAGTGTCCAGCTTAGTACTGGAGTGCTTCACAAACTGTAGCTACAGTTTTCATGCAGTCATGATGCGCATGAGGGCAAGTGTCTGTGTAGCAAGTGCTCCTCCAGACACGGGTCGCAGTCTGGCGGGAGACAAACCAGCAGGCCGCTGCGCTCACAGTGGTGATGGCAATGACGAAGACAGAGGTCAGGTGCCCTTGGGGCACGAAGGAGGAACACTACCCTCAGGTTGGGGCCGGAGCAGCCAGGAGGCTCCCAGGTAAGGTAGACACCTGAGTTGAGTTAAGGACACAAAAGCAAGTCAGGAAAGGGGATGGAGAGGAACTCTAGAGAGAGGAAGTGTGTGCGCCAAGAGGCAAGCAGTGACTGACTTCCTTTCTTCCTTCCTGCCTTCATCTATCCAACAAATACTTATTAGGGGTATGCTGCATATAAGAAGCTGTTCTGTGGAAAAAAGCTAACATTTCTAAGTGCTTATGATGTGTCAGGTTCTAAGTACTTCACAGATGGTAGTCACTTGGTTCCCCCAACCACCTGGTCAGATTGGTGTCACTGCTACCCACGTCGAAGTTGAGGACGCGCAGGTGTTCAAAGAATCCAGGATGGTTCAACTACAGGGCTGCAGCAGGGGGAGAGCAGATGAGGCTAAGAGGTAAGTGGGACTGGCTCCTGACAGATCTGCAGACCAGTGAGGAAGAAGCCCCATGAGGCCAGCTAGGCTGGTACACCTACCTTGCTGGCTAACCTTGACATTCATGACTATTTCCTCCATAAAAGAGAAAGCAGAATATGCAAATGATCATAGGTAATGGTGCTGGGCTGTTCGGCCAAGAAATAAGGCTTATTTCTAAGGGGAGTCCTATTTCTGGGGGCTCCAGGGTTCCAGCACTGTGGCTGATTTGCAGAAGAGTCAGCCCCGTTCTTTCTGGTTATCTGTCACTCTTTGGATGGTAGACAGCTGGGCTTTCGACATTCCTCCACTTTTCAGAGCTGTAATTCCCCAAACCATAATATTTTTTTCCTCCCACTCAGGACAAGCCGAAGGTTTACATTTTGCTATGGTTGATTGATGGGGCTGAAGTCCAGGAAACCCGATTTGCTTCTTCCCTTGGAAGATCCAGCCAAAATTAGTGAGTCAGGTGAAACCACTCTTGGCAGGCAGGGGTGGAGATTCTGGAATACGTGATTCAGATTTCCGAAATAAACCCC